AGCGGTGGAGTTGGATAAAGCTCTGTGCTGGAACCATCCAAACGAATGCAGGAGCTATGGAGTCAACTTGGAGCCCTGCCTGAGTTGCAAGAGATTTCTTCTGATTAGATCTCTGGCCTGCAAAACCCAGCAATCCAGGCACTCATGAAAGATTTTGGGGATGATTGTGTAGACCGTCCTGGTGTTGACCTTACCACTTTGATTTAATGGGCTTTATGAAAAATTGGAAGTACATTCACATCACATTAAATTGATTTAACCAGGAATGTAACCCAGTTTTTGGTGGTTGCACTGAGTAACTGGTCAATATGTTTTTATTTAAAGAAGCATCCTGGCCTAAAATGAGCAATTTATTGGTTTATTTGTCATGGTTTTGTTCTGTGGTGCAGCACTGCTGCTCTTAGCTGTTCACACAGCAGGTAAAAGTGGCCCAAATCCGATCCATTTCTTCATATGTGTGAACAGATAAACACACTGAATCTAATTTTCAATTCTGATTTGAGACGCTTTCATATGTGGTACTGAAATCCGATACGTATCCGATCTGCAGCAGTGCAACTCTGAACAGCCAGATTGGAATTCATGCGGCTTTTACGTCAATCCAACTCAACATTCGGCATAAATTTGCGCTGTGGAGACCTCAAACATTTAGGCTGATGTTTCTGAACCAAAATAAGAAGGCACATATCGCAAACACTCCGTGTTCGACAAGATTTAGAAAAAAATGTCCGAATGCGGCCGTAGAAGAACGAGGCTGCAGCGTCAAAGAACAGTTAAAAGTCTGAAAGCAAAGTTTAAAGAATCTGAGGACGCGAACCAAAGAAGTGGCCGCGCCCTTTTTACGGCAAACGCATTCTGGGTGACGAGCCCAGCTGTCAGTCAGTGAAGCTTCATGGTGGCTCCTGTGATGCTGGGGAAGATGAAGCTGATCCTCCGGGAGCGACTGGCGTTTGTTGGCGGTCGTGATTGTTTACCTCTGGATGAGCCGTGAAGCAGCGTGACGCTCTGTTCTTTTGCTCATGTGGGTCAGTTTAGGAGCTGATCTGTTCAGACTGACGTCTGATACAGATCACATTTTAAAAGATAATGTGAACACCCAAACAAAAAAAATCAGATTTGGTGAGAAAATCAGATTTGAGCCACTTTTACCTGCTGTGTGAACGAAGCCTTAGTCTCATCACTTTGACACAATTAACAATTTTCGGATCCTGGGTTTTCGTCCATCGGTGTTGTTCTCAATACGCCACATGCTTTACCCAAATGCATCACCCAAATGAGTCCTCCCCAAAGCGATGAAGAAAAAGCGATGTACCACGCATGTAGAGGCTAAAGTTGGCGGTATACTTCATACTTCAAAGTAAAATTATGCCTTTTTGCCTCAAACGACTGTGATTGGTCTGTGGTTGCCGCTGTACGGAGCAGGCCTCTAGCAGTGCAGAGTGTGGAAGACGTAGACCAAGTTCTTTTTAAGTACTCCTGCCAGCAAGCAAGAGTACTTTTTCAGCGATTTGATTTAGCATGTGCATGTTTAGCTTGTATTGTCGTTTGAAGTGCCAGCTTTATAAATATACATGTAATATTCAGCTTCCTTCTGCAGTTGCCAACAGCCTCGGAAAGGCTCGCTTCATATATTGACCCCAGTAGGTTTGAAAGTTTTTTCCCACCTTCAAGGCACATCATCAGGAGGGGGGGATTAAATCTCACTTTTGCGACTGCTGTGGCACCACTGCAAAAGACAGGTTGGCATGTTTACAACAGAAGTAGCAATGGATAAATTCTTAATTTTGGCTGGACGTCCCCTTTAACACACAGATTGATTTTTGAGAAGCGAGGCTGAACCTAGACAGAGCATAACGGTCATTTACCCTGAATATGTGCTTATGATGCCTTTTATAGACCTAACATATGGCACAGAAGCAGATATGGGAGCCAGCAAGAGGGCAACAAAGATGACAATGCAAAACATTTTAAGTACAGAAACACTCAACACCCCCTGTTGGATGCTTGTCAAACTGCATTCCTGACCAGAGGATGTGTCCACAGTCCATAGCAAGTGATGTTTTCGTCAGTCCGTCACCTGAGGTGGAGCCCTAAAATACTTTCAAGATACACAACAACAAGATATGTTTATTCCGTGTCTAAACACGGACGCTGGAGCAATGACAGTGTGGTCACTCGCTGTTTTCTTTTGAGGATGCTAGTGAATATATTTTGGTTTGTTGTGCCCTTTATCAGTGCCTTGTGGTCATGCGCTGCTATGCGGATGGCTACAGCTTGGCTAATGCTAGTAATCCCTTTTTGCAGTGGTCACTACACTGTGAGCCATATCTGGAGTATAAACAAGAGGGTGGGGTTATATTCATTTGTTGTATCTATACAGCATCTTTCCCCTCAGGGCATGACCTGCATGGTCGTGCGTCGGATGGGGCTCGGAAGGTACGTGGCGTGGCACTTATTTCCAAATCCTGTGCATGTTTGTGTGACTAAGTTTAGCAGAGTTTAATGCGCGACACAGAGTCACATGCGTGGTGTTGTTGATCTGACACCAGAGATGCCGGCAGACTGAGATTTGGAGTTTTTAAAATAAATGCTGTTGCCAGGAGGACACAGGACCTTTCACACAGCCCCTGCTTCGCTAATCCGCACAGTTCTTGATGACAAGGCCTGCTCACGGTTGTTTATCATTGCTGGAGGACGCATGCAAGCAGGCTCAATAGTAGCGTATATAAAAACCAGACGAACCACACCCTGAAGGCAGCTCTGAGTTTTATATGAACGCACTTTGTTGTCAGGTAGCCTGAATCGAGCTATTGTGAGCTCCCAGCCCTTCTTCTCCCCTGAATTGGCTGGTTAAAGAATACGCGAACAAAAGAGCGATCTGTTTGACGCAGATGAGCAGGTGTTTGCGGTTTCCCACTGGGATGAGAAGTTCCTTGAAGTACTGATGTCAGATGTCAGTGAAACATGTAGGTTGATCTCTTCAATACCTGAGCTTAACCACCGATGTGTGCATTCTCACATTGTGGAATGTCACAACCGTTTCACCTTAAGACACTGGCCCGCTAAAGCGGGACCTGGGTTTGTGGAAATTCAGCTAAGACCCCCCCTCAGCTCAGGTCACCCTGAGTGTCTTATTACTCATGGTCTGGCTACATTGTTTTCCCTAATATGGGAAAAAGCTAGAGTGAGTGAGCGAGCACCTGGAACAGAAAGGAGAGAGAGTTTGAGAGTGAGTTTGGACAGTTATGCATGGTTTTTTCCTCAGTTCTGCTTAGGAAATGGTTGAAGGGAAACTCTGGCCAAAATGAAATATTTTAACCCTTCCTATCTGCTGTAAATATGCCTAATCGTACCTCCTACAGCAGTGCTGCAGTAGCTCCTAGAGAGATTTTCCAGTTGATGATGTATCTTGAAGGTGAAAGGAACTTTAAAGAAGTGCATCTGGTTTATGGCGGCCTTACACCAAACGACTTGTCGAGCGATTTCACTGTCGCAGACGAATTTCCAGTGTCGGAATAAAATCATGAGAGTCTTATTAGAGTTGTGTCGCACTCGCGTCATCTCGGTCGTTTAGTGTGAGGCGGTCAGGGCGGCCGTCTTAAGTCAGTCTTTTTCTCGTCTTGACGCTGCGACAAAATCAACCGTGTTTAATATTATCGGAAGTTTTAAGTCTTAGAGAGAGAGAGAGAGAGAGAGAGAGAGAGAGAGAGAGAGAGAGAGCATGTGTGAGAGCCACTTTAAAACAAAAATCATCTTGACTTAAAAATGTAAACTGGCTGTTTTAATATTTCAGGTTCACTGAGTGTAACAGTGATGTAAGACAGTGTGCAGATGACTTTAAGAACAGCATTACTGAAGTTTTTTTGCTTTTTTTGCATTCTGTTACACTCGTTTCTTATTTTATTTGTTTTTTATGGTCATCCAATCAACGATGCTGAATCGCTGCATGTTGTGTTGATGTGTAAATCTTTATTGTAAATAAAAAAGTAACCACATTTTACAGGTTATTTTTAAAAAATACTGGTTGATGATCTGCCAGAATATACAGTTCTGTATATTCCCATCTGTATCACTATATAGTGGAAGGAACAGCGTTTATCTGCTTATGAATTCCCACCAGCTGCATGATGGGAAGTAAACTCAAAACTGTAGTTACAGCTTTCCAAATAGTGACCCTGCAAGATCCCCAGTCTTTAGTCTCTGACTAAAAACTGTGAAATTGTCTTTAGATGAGAGGGGGTGTCTTATAGCCCCCCACCATCTTGGTTACCTGGTTAATGCAGAGGGAAATCATAGGGTTAATGTTACTGCCAGGATTCTGAATATCCTATTGCAGCCAAAGGAGGGCAACAATCTAGGTTTGCAAGGTTAGCTGCCTGGCTGTCTAGATACGTTACCTCGGTTTTTGTCTCTTTTAAAATTCTTCTCTTTGGTGTCCATTTTGTACTGAATAAATATAGAATTGCTGTTTATTTAGCAAATTTGTTTTCTGACCAAGATAAGAGTTACACTTGATGATACACTTGATAATTTGGATGCATTTATTAGACTACAGATTAATGGTTAGGGCAGCAGTCAGGATTAGTTGGCACCACAGGGTTGGTTGATGTTCTTGCATCACACATGCTGAGCATTGTAGTGAAAGAACACTGATCAACGAAAACATGAAAACAATGTATAAAATTGTGGATTCTGTCAAATTGATGAGGCTAAAGAGTATAATGCGCTACAGAAAACCACACGACACAACAAATAATACAGTAAACACTAGTTTTAGGCTCAAATGCCCCTTTAAGGAGCTGTTGAATGATGCTTACTCAGCAGGCTTTAAAGCCCACAGCTGAAGATCAACACCTTACTGAGATTCTTATTTTTAGGACCTGGTCACTGGCTTGCATATAGCCTTCTGCCTCAACCACAGCTACACAAGCCGTCATGTGTCAGGAGTTAGATTGATGTGCCTTCTTTTGAGGTATAAATACTCTGTTGTGATGACCTGTCGACAGAGAGAATAAGGGTCAAATGTGTGGGACGGCATGACCTCATCTGCGCCGAGACACATAGACCATCACCGTGGCCTACCGTGTCGCTTCAGAGCCCTGCTGTGTCTAGAAGTCTAAGTGAAGGTCGTTCTCACATTTTACGAGATCTGGAGACAGGTGTTTGTCCAGTTTCCCTTCGTAAGGGACCTTTCGAAGTTAAGAAGTACCGTCCCTTCAAGAAGAGGTTGATGGGTGGTCACTTAGAGACCCCCAGCATTCCTGAGCCAAAAAGAGTGTGTTTTTTCTGGCTTGGGGTGCTTAATCTGGCTTCATAAAGAGGGGGTGTAGGTGGGTATAGGGTACCCTGCGTCTGGCATGTGTTTGTTTCTGGACCACCACATGATCTCGATTGCAGCAACAGACCATTTTGAGAAAGTGATGAGGGGAAGTGACGTCACTGGGTAAACTCTTTATTGATGAGATCATGCTCCTCGGACCCACAGTGTCTCATCGCTGGGTGTTCCTCGGTTCTTCCCCTGTGTCGAAACAGCTGAGTGAAGTTTAGTGCAGCCTGGTCTCCCACTGAGCTGGAGGTGGTCTTGTTTTTGAAGGGACTGAGCTTAATTATAGTGGTCTTCGGTTCTGACCGAGGTGGTCTGCTGTGAAGCTACACATTTTCTACCTTGCTTCTATTAGAAGGACAGGAGGCAGGAAGTTTTCAGGGAGAGGACCACAGCTGAGGCAGCTGCCCCATCATGCCTGCCCCCCGAGTGAGCCGCTTCCAGCAGCAAAAGATCAGCCATGCCAAGATCATCTTGAGGAGTGAGTGTGGGACGGGGGCTGAGAGGAGAAAGTTAGCCCTCTTTTGCTTAATAAGACCTTCTTAACATAATTTCCGAACTCTTTTATAATCTTATAGCAGAATTAAGTGAAAGTCTGTGTGGCATCCTAAACACATGCTTAGTTGATGGATGTTTTTCAGATCTGACTAAGTACTACAGTTCAATCTGTGTGGTGTTTTACCAAACTAACTTTGAGCTCTGAGACGCTGAACGCTGAGACACTTTCCTCCCCTTTCTTTCTGTTTTCTCCTCGTCTCCCTGTCGCTTTGTCTCCGTCTCTGTCTCTCGTCTTCGGTCGATGTTTGTTTGATTTAACTGTGTGCTGAGTCAGACATTCTGCTCTTCAGAGCATGGACGCTCTCTCGCAGAATCTTGCTTATGCCATGCATTTTAGGCCCTATTCCGTTTTCCAAATTCTCGACTTTCCATGGCCAGAAAAAGTAAACTCTACACTTTTCTGACCATTTTTCTTCTGGTTCAGCAACTTTTATTGTTGAATTTGCTGTAGCACTGCTTTGTGGAATGCTGTTTTACTGTGTAGTGGTCTAGGGCTGAACAATTTGGGGGAAAATGTAGAACTTTTTCTGACCAATATTGTGACGAAATTGAGGTTATTTTCTACAAATTAAGGCCTAAGGTTGTTTTTTGGCCATGAAGATTAGCGCATTGTTGTTGTTGTAACAGACCTTTACAAGAGGAGGAATGAACACCCTTTACTTTTAATAGTGGTTGGTATAATGTAGTGGGTATCACCTCTGCCTTCTATGCTGTAGACTGGGGTTCAAACCCCCACCTGGTTAAGAACCCTACACTACACCAATAAGAGTCCTTGGGCAAGACTCCTAACGCTACCTTCACCTACCTGTGTAAAAATCATCAAGATTGCAAGTCACTCTGGATAAAAGTGTCTGCCAAATGCCCCATAAATGCAAATGTTTTAATGGAAGTTAATTGAACATGATTTTATGCAAAGTCATTTTGGTTCTTTTGGTCGATTTGTCGTTAATTTTGGCACCTGGTATTTTTAAACAATGCTAAGAAATGAAAAAGAACAAAAATGGAAATACAACTTTTTTTTTTTTTTTCTATTTCTGGCTTCAGAATTGAACGCTGAACACCAGGCTGTCATGTTGTTCACAGAACGTGGGTGTTTGGTCTGATTAATCTGTAAGCAGTTCCCAAGCTCTGTGTTAGTAGGTTAAATTTCCCCATAAAACTCCAGACAACGTTGTTGACAATGTAGGCTATAATAAAAATTCCAGCTCTTGCAATTTGAAAATCAAATCATGGTTTTGATATGAGAATATTTGGTCTTTCAGCCCTGCTATGCGCACTATAATGAGCATAGCTTATGTAAAGTATAGCCATATGCAGATTGCTGCTGCTAGGCTGGGCTGTGTTCAGAAATTTGAGAGTAAGAGTGGTTATTTTCTGTTCTCTGCAGACAGCCTGCCATGGGGCACCTTTGACCCACAAAATGAAATGTTTTCTTTTCTTGGGGGCGGTTTTCAGCAGCACTGTTCCTAAGCAGAGCTTCTTTTATTAGGTGACTTTGCATCAGCACCCCTTCTCCCCTCCCGTTTACCCTCCCCGGAGCTGTGGCAGGATCAGGTGGTGCCTTATTTAACATCAGTGTCCAGACCCAGAGAAACCACAATGGCACCTTATGCCCACAGCAGTTGACCCCGCGGCAGGGTTTTGTTGACTTGTCCTGAACGGTCATGGTCTCTCAGGTGGGGATGGATGAAATGAGCTGTTGTTGTTCAGGGCAGTAATTAGAACCTTACCAGCTTTTTCGGTAGAGGATGACATCAGTGCTGATGCTTGCCAGACTCAATGTCTCCCCCCTGTAGCCCAGAAAAAGACCCGAGTTATGTGCGGTATTGGGGTGTAGAATGTGTATCCTATGGTTCTGTCTCTGTCACAGGAGATTCTCTAGACGCCTACGCTGCGAGACGTCTCTGAAGGCAGACAGTCAGTCTCCATGTACATAGCAGCATCCATCATTCATGTTCATGTGACAAACATGCAAATATCTGTTGGTACGTTGAGACAGAGGTTTGTCCAAATAAAAATAGTAGCACAGAATATAAGAAGGTTCAGTCTGGATTTTTACCCCCACTTTGTTTGATACTGTGTGTAATTGCAATGCTGTTCGGAAGGAAGATAAAGGTGACCAGGAATGATAAATGATTAAAAACTTAGACTGATATGGGTGATATTTATTGAGCTACACTCACAGAAGTAGTGTCTCTCAGTGTGGCATGGAGTTGTAGAGGTTCCTAATGGTGTCCTGCGATAATCCGTCCCATGCAGCTTTAACATTCTCACGCAGTTCCTGCAGATTTCGCGGTGGGGTGGAGTGCTGATAGCGTGTCCAGTAGCATCTCACACATTTTCAGTTGGGGATAGGTCTGGCGATGCGGCTGGCCATGGCTTGATATCTGTGTCTTCGAGGCGAGCTCTCGAGACGGCAACAGTGTGACGAGCTTTTTCCTGTTGGAATAGCGCACCGGAGTGCGCGTTCAGAAAAGGTAGGGCCATTGCTGGAGCTCATTAACGTAACGTTGGGCTGTCGAAGTGTCTGTAATGAAGACCAAAAGGTGATCATGACACCAGGCCTTCTGGACATGACACGTGACAAACCGTTCATCTTGGCGCTGACCACAGTGCCTCCACACACGGACCCGTTGGATGTCTCCACCAAGACAAAAGCGTCACTCCATGACGGTCTGGCACGACACCATTGCAGTCTTTGGTGATGTTGACGTGGTGTTAAGGGCAGCTGTCGTCTACATACATGTAGTCCTGCGTCGTACAGCCTTGTGCCAGTGCTAGGCACTAACAGGATGACTCGTGGAGGGCATAACTGCTCGCTGAATGTCCACAATCGTGGCTGTTTGGTCACTCCGCGCATGTTGGTTCTCCCTCTCCGTGGTTCGTGTAGGTCTCCCAGATCCTGTGTGTGTGTGTAGGTGAATGCATATGTGTGTAAATGTTTATTTATATATGTGTGTTTATCCGTGGCAGTAGTAGGCGATATGGCTAATGATGCTGAAGATGTCACACAGCAGGCAGAATCAGGGTTCAACACCTATGGGATTGATTTTGAGGAACAAGAGCCCCTTTAGACCCCCTTACTCTTCTCAACCGGTCATTGAATTACAACTAAAAAAGTGCAAGATGGAGAGCAAGCTGTGTAATGGTCATTTTAAAATCTGTTTATATTTATGCAGCTAATGTTGGAGAACTCAGGCTTTCATCTTATGACCGGTAGATCACGGACGTGTCATGTCCGGTATTTGAACACTCTGCATTAACGTTATATCCATAACCTATACGTTCGCTGTGGGGACACCGCGGGGAAGTGTCTCGTGTGCCTTACTGTGTGCCATGCTGGTAAAATACAGCACTGTGAGCTTTGTTAGGTGGAGGTAGCTAACGTAACCCTAGCTAACGTCTCATTTTATTCCCACAGTTAAGTTGGACTACAAACTATCAAGGTCTCGTAAATGAAGTTAATCAGCTGTAGTAGGATTCTGCAACAGGTGGCTAACGCAAGTGGGAGGCAGCGTCTAGCTATGGTACAAACAAAGGTGTAATAAACCTTTATAACAGCAACAGCTACATTTAGAAAAGTGTAAATAACCTACTTGCTGGGAGTTTTGGTTGGAAATCAGAGCAGCAGGACAGCAGTCACTTTATAAGAGGAACGAGAGTAGCTGACGTATACATACCACTGACTCCGATTGGTACCTTGGCAGATCTGACGTCACCTGCACCAAATTTAGTCCCGTCCAACTCAAACCGAACAGAAGAAAACAGCAGAAAAAAGTCATTTAAAAAATCTCTCAATAGAAAAGTCCAAAGCATCGTTTCTCTGTCAGTACATAGAAAAAAGAACACAAAAACCATAGATAACATAGATAATAGTTAGAAGATGATGATGAAAATGGGTAGACAGGGGCTTTATATTTATTTTATTTTGTTTTGGAAATAATTTCATACATAGGCATCGACTTTATTTATAATTGCCCTTGATTTTGTTTGCATTTAAATTTAGATGGAAATGTCTTTTGTGTATTTAGACTGTATGTCAAAGTAAGATGACGCCCTTCTAAATAGTGAGTTCAGCTGCTTTAAGGTGCACCTGTTGCTTAGACAGATGTTCTTTGCAGATTGTTTTTGGGCGACTGAAATATTGGGAATCACACACTAAACTTTTCAGCTGCTGCTGAACCAAACAGAACTCGCCGAACTCTCACAAACTCTCGCGTTCTCCCGTTACCGTTAGACCCGAATAAACAAACGTGGAGCTGCTGCTGCTGTTTTCTCTGCCGTTTGCGCTGATACAGTAAAGAAGCAGCAGGTAAACGTGTTTAAGTGAGGATCATGGATGGTTTCAAACGTACATAAACTCAATTGTGCCTCAAACACAGCTCATTAAAAGGCTTCGCTCCACACGTGAGAGACTTTTCGCCATTTTTTTTTTTGTTTACTTGCTGTATTTTCTTCTTCTTTTAATTTTTACCCGATTTTTCTCCCCAATTTAGTCGTCTCCAATTCCACCCGCTAGTTAGGACTCCCCCAATCACACGATGCTATCAACGCTAGGAGGGTAAAGGCTAACACAGGCTTCCTCCGAGACCTGTGAAGCGCCACCGTTTCTTTTCGAACTGCCGCTCACGTAACGTCACTGGACAGCCAAACGCGCTCGGAGGAAAGCGCCAACCGCCAGATCTGTTACGTCAACTAACAGACGCCTGCGCTGACTAGCATCGCGCTGAGTGATGGGGGGAGAAGGAGGGGCCATCCCACCCACCCAGAGAGAGCGAGGCCAATTGTGCTCTCTAGGACTCCCGGCTACGGACGGCTCTAGCATCACCAGGGATCGAACTCGCGATCTCCTGATCATAGGGCCAACGCTTAGATGGTTGCCCCACTCGGGAGCCCCGTATTTTCTTCTTTAACACTCTGTTT